CCCCAATTGAATGCAGAAACAAACTCATGTACATGTACATCTACACGTAACTTGTTGAAGTATCTCTCTGTAGAATCTCACTCTCCAGCAAATGCTTTAAGCTCAGTTTGTGAATGACATACATGTACATGTCTGCTACAGTTTCTGACACTGGCCCCAGGTTGTTAAATGGTAGACAATTTCTTCTGTGACGGCTGGTGGATCTGACCTGTGCTTTTGTTTTACGGTACCTATAAATTTTCTTCCTTGAAATTGGGCGAAGTGCTGACTTTCATAAAGATGCTGAATTAGGAGGATTGCTGAGCTTACATATTTTGAAGAATGAGTCCCGGTATTCGTTACTAGCCCAAATACTTTCAGCATTGTTTTGCTTGGATCTTGTGTGATGTGGGGCTATTTTTTACTTGTTTTTAGTACCCAACAGCACTGTCCCCACTGCACCCCCAGGAAACCATGACCCGATCATCAGTTTGTCCACAAGTTACTTTCAATTTGTTTACAGGTTGCCGTTTTCATTGACGTCTGTGTCAACTTGTTGAGCCACTTGAAATACAGCACTGTCAAAGATTGTATCCTTGTAAAGATTGTATCCTCCCTATTCAACAATGTGCGACTTGACCATTGTGTTCTAAAACCAAAGGAGGGTTGAGGGAATAAATATGTGCTTGGCCGGTCTTAAATGTGTGTTTAAGACCAGCCAAGCACATGTTTATTCCCATTCGCAAATACCTTTTTAGTCAAAGAGTCAAATGAAGTCAATATATGATGGATGTCCAATGATTTTGTTCTAGAACTTTACTTTCATTTTCCCGCAAAACACCCCCCTCCATTATATGGTATATTCCTTGTACAAGTTGTCCAAAAGAATCTCCTTATATGGACTTGGCGTGCGCGTGGCAAGCCATGTGCATACAGACTCTTGACCAAACAGAATTGCTTAAACTGTCCTGTATCCAGGAGCCAGCACGTGATTTACGCAGCAGGCACTATCACTTCTCAGCGGGCATTATCAAATGTTAATAAATCACCACACGGTTTTACATGGTGGCACTCGACTTGTAATAAACGCAGTCCTTCACGTAACGTTTTTGCAAGGATATACACGTACTGACAACCACAACTGATAGATGGACCTGACACCTGACCGAAACAGATGTTACCCAGCTTCTTTTTTTACTTGAAAACATCCTGGAAAGTTTCAAAACAACCCGTGAATACTGAGCACAGCTGCACAGTTGCTTCATGTTTTCAGGTGCCGGTAAAAATGTGTGCTACCACGAGTTATAGTGGAGATTGTTAGTCACTACTTCCACTCATGTAGGAACGGCTGTAATGAGTCCCACTGACATATGTATGAATATTGATGGTTCTTTGGCCTGGCCGTTGCGTCAAAAAGAAAAACGGAAGAATGGAGGAAAATCTGACCTGTCTATGGCAAAAAAAGTGGAAAATGAAGTTCAGCATTCTCAACAAAAGCTGAGGTTTCACACCCCGAAAATAAGCACGAGGGTCGGCAAAAGTATGTTTTATTTTTATTTCTTTTTCAACCAAACGATTTAGGGTCGGCGCGATTTGCTAGGTTGTAGTGGGTAACCAGAAGCACAGCTATTATTTTGTTTGGCCAAAGGAGGTTGTGACCAAATCATAGTATCAGTCCCAACTGTAGTCATGACAGTTCCAACTGTAGTTGGGACAGTCGGGCTGACCCAACTAAAAATTTCCACACGTACTGACAATTTCTCAACCTTTTCAAGGTTTGACAGCTCAGTCACATCAGAATTCGTCAATTGTTTTCATGTGAAATGAAAACGGCAGGTGCCATTTTCATCGCACACGCTGGCACACTGTTCCATAGTTGAGCTGGCCCATCTATAGTTGGGACCATCCCAACCTCAGATGGGACACATGCTATAGTCAGGGCGTAACAAGGATATCTACGAGCAAACTTCAATGTCAACACACTATGTTTGCATAAATAAATGCGTTGTTCCCTGTTTTGGCCTTGACACTGTAACGTCCAGCAATCTTTGTCTGCATGGAGGACGGCTGCCTTGTCCTATCTCTTCTCATCCTGCTGGGATTCAGCGCAGGCTTTGTACTGATTGCCAGCGTACTCGTTGCAATAGAGGTATCAGTCTCTAAAACCCAACACAAGATGTTATTCACAAATATTTGTCACGAATGCCGTGACTATTATCCACATAGTAGCCATCTACTAACAAAGACTTGAAATTTGACGGAAAAATAGGACATACCATCTGGTCCAACTTTTTTTTTTATTTTGCACATTATCAACGAACTACAGAGGTAGTCAACAGCTCCCAGTTATCACATAAATTTCCCATGCAGTATATTCCAATTTGAAAATTGGACATTCTGAGTGGTGTTGCTAAATATTCTAAGTTTTGTAAATGCCACGTTTGAATTGAACCCTTTGACTGAGAGTAATATTGACCTTTTCAACTTGAGCAATGACCATGAAATTTCCATGAACAAATCTGAGCTAACAGCATTCAGTATACAGGAATTCTTTACAGTGTGTTTCCAAACCTCTAGATTTACCCTAAATCGCAATTTGTAATGTAATAGTGCCTCATCAGGATTTTGTGAGCAATGTTTGAATTAGTGATTAATTAATTAGAATTTAGTCAGTTGCTTAGTTGATTTGTTTATTTAGTTGATTTCTTTGTTCAGTTAGCTGATTTCTTTGTTCAGTTAGCTGATTTCTTTGTTCAGTTAGCTGATTTCTTTGTTCAGTTAGCTGATTTCTTTATTCAGTTAGCTGATTTATTCAGTTAGTCGATTTTCTGCTTTACCTTGCAATACAGCCTATCGCAGCAGGGTCGGGTATCCCCGAGATCAAATGTTACCTGAACGGTATCAAGGTCCCCCACGTCGTCCGCCTGAAGACGCTCCTCTCCAAAGCTGTTGGTGTCCTCTTCAGTGTCTCTGGCGGTAAGATGGTCTTGCCTGTTCTGTAGAGGCTCAGGCTGGCTGTATCGGGTCCCGTTTTCTGGCTTTTAACCCTCAAAGATTTCCTGCTAGTTTTGACTGACAAATCAAAATTGGTTTGGCCAATTCTGCCCATTGCATGAGTGTCCCTTCTCCCCCCCCTTCCCCAGCAAAAAGTTGCAAACCTGCTTCAAGTTGGGTGCCTGGGAACCTTCATACATCACCAAGTTCAGGCTTCAGGCAGTACCTAGGTTCAACTTGGAGAGCTTTTTGCTGGTGCATAAATTTTTTTATGCAATGCTAAATGCAATTGGTTTTCTCACCAGTTGCTCGGGATTAAAGCCAAAGTTTGAAAATATACGGCATTTGGCGATATTTGGTGACTCAAGGACATGTGGCCCAGTGGTTAGTGTTTGCGCCTCTCAATTAACATCTCTGGGGTTCAAAACCCGCAGCTGGTCCCATGTTGTGATCTGGGGCAAGTCACTTTTACCCCTACTTTTCGTCTCTCTCCACGGAGGAGTATTCAGTGTGTACCCGTGAGGGTAGAGTGGGATCTTGTATTTCACTTGAGAAAACATTCACCAAGCAGCATGCTCCCAAGGGAGCAGAAGGTCTTTTTTAAATTAAGGAATGACCAAAGCCCAGTGAGCTCACAATGATGTGAGGACATGAAGACAAAGTGCACCATGCTAGAGCTGTCCATTGTTATAGTAATTCAGCAGTCTTGTTCCCTTAACGATTCTCTAATCCCTATCCCAGGCTTGTTTGTGGGCAAAGAGGGTCCTATGATCCACAGCGGAGCCATCGTCGGTGCTGGAATCCCCCAGTTCCAGAGCATCACCTTCCGCAAGCTCAAGTTCAACTTTCCCTATTTCCGGACGGACAGGTGAGCAAGGCTCCAAAGTAGCAAGGTTGTGCACTTTGAAGAGCCATCATTGGATGTGATCAGACCGACTGCACGTGAAGTTGATTGCACTGTCGGTCAATCCCGCTGCCATCCGTTAATGAGCCAGCTTGTATGTCAAAAAACGTCAGGGTCATGCTAAAACAAAGCAGCCAATGTCACACTAGCTCATTTATGTTCATATAGCCGTTCTGATGGGTACCTACACATTGATGCCCTCGTAGGCTGAGAAGCTGTTCATCCGGGCATGCAACTTTTCCTCGGATCTTCAGATTTCCTCCTTTTCACTTCACACTCATGCCATTGAACATTGAAAAACACCGTACAGAGTCTTGTCAAGATTGGAATACCCGCGTTCTTTGTCGAAGTCCAAGTTGCACGCCTGTTTATTTTAAGCATGCGCTGTTGAAACACTGCAACGGCGCATTTCATGGTTGCCGTCATTTGGTCACGTTTTCATTCCAAGTCATGCTTTCGGAAGCTTGTAAACTTAACAACCGGTAACTCTTTGAATGAAACCCATCGTCTAATAACTAACATGTCTGGAGATTGACTGGATTTATCCTGCTCATTCACGTTATCAGGGATAAAAGGGATTTCGTCTCCGGAGGCGCAGCGGCAGGTGTTGCGGGTAAGTGAAAAGATGTCTGCACAGTTCGTCGGGTTGGCCCTAAAAGGTTGTTACAGCAAAATGTGGTACAGACTACAATTGTTTTGGTTTTGTTTATTAAACTAGTTTTCTGGGGCCAATATGTTTAAATATGTAACAAATGTTCTGGTCCAATTTCAAGTTTTAAATATATTTATTTTTCTTTAAGAACCCTTTAATGCAATTTTTCAGAAAGGACCTTGTAGAACTGACACGACAAACTGTAGGAATGTACATGACTGTCAAGCATGGATTTCCTCCTTGTAAAACAGCCGAGGGCGCTCTGCTCTAGTGACGAGCACCACCTAACGGCTAACGGTGTTTGTCATAATTCTCTTCCACAATGCATTCCTCTTAAGCAGCCAGTGGGAAAAAATTTATGTGCGCGGCCTGTTTCCAAACAGGCCATCTTATTTTAAGGCTGTCTTTGAATGGCAGATGAAAATTCAGTCAGTAAGGTTGATTGGTCTCGCACTAGTCAACAATGCAAGGGCCACTGAGTGCTCTCAGTGATCCGATTATCCAACGTGCGTCCATCATTGTCATATGCAAAGTCTGTGATGCCGCAGCACACAGTATTTAGACATGAGGCAAGACCTCCAAGCTTGTATGCAGTTGACGCTTAATGTATAGACCACTGTTAACCCCTTTGCTCCGGGAGACGGCAAGAGCCGCGGCTTTGTGTGAGGATTAGTACATACCACACATACAGTCTATTCACCATGCAGCTGCTGGTTCAATGGGGCCTGCTGATGGACAAAGCCCTCCGTTCAGGGCATACCACAGCCCAGCAGTCATGGTCAAAAGAATTACCGGCGCGAAAGGGTCAAACAAAGTACTGTTATAAACTACAGATTTTGAGAATCCCAATTGCTTGACTTCATGCATTTTTCTTTTGTCATGCAACTCCTTACAACAAAGCCGTGGTTATAACAAAGCAATTTGTCTGAGCTCTGCAACTTTGTTATCCCAAGAGTGGACGGGAAATGGCAAAAAGTGTTTGAAAAATGTAGAGCCAGTGTCCGTACATGGCATAATTGGTGACCGTTTTGTCATGGAAAATGCACATCCAAACCCACCCAGCTCTGCATGTTTGTGTTGCCGTAAGAGTCCTGTCTGCTCTTGGCTTGCAGCTGCCTTCGGCGCTCCCATCGGAGGGGTTCTGTTCAGCTTGGAGGAAGGCTCTTCCTTTTGGAACCAGTCGCTGACGTGGAGAACGGTAGGTGGCGCTCTGGTTTATTCCCCAGCCGTCTCGGCAGGGGTGCCTGCATGCAGTGGCTTGGGGTCAGATGATGCTTCTGGTAGCATTGTGATGTTTGAAGTAATGCGACTCTCGCGTTCATGCGGTTTGCTTATGGTCAGCGCTGCATGAGAGATGACGTAGGGTGTCCAAAATTGAACCTTCCTCATAAAAAAGGGAAAAACTAGTTCTGTGACGTCACTACTGTATTCAAGGTGTAGATTATTTTTATGAATCTACAGCAAACTGTAGATTCGTAATTTACATTAGGTAAATAACATACTGAATCTGTTATGCGTAGCCTGGCAATCGGATTTTGACAGTTTCAACCCGGTCCAAGTTAATGCAGTTTCGTATCACCGTGCTCTTCGTTTCTCCTACACCAACCAGTTTTTCTGCGCCATGTGCGCCACGTTTACGCTGAACTTGATGCTGTCCGGGCTGGATTACCAGCAGTGGGGGGCTATGGACCAACCTGGTCTCATTGATTTTGGCATCTTTGACAGGGTGAGTAACTTGGTGACAGTTGTTTTTGTGCTGTTGGCCATCCAGTCATCCTGTTCCTTGGCCAGTTTTATTTCATCCGCTCTGCTCGCAAATTGACCATTTGATGCCAGATGACCCGTAAGCACTCATACTTTTCCTTATTTGCTTCACAGAGGTTGTGTACACTACTTTAAGAATTCTTTTTTCTTTCCCGTGGTTGACGTATTAACGCATCATGCTTGGTTGGGTCAAAGCGCAATTGCAAGGTTGAAAAATATGCTTTGGGGGTGCGAAAATCCAATGTTAACTGGTTAAAAAAAGTATACTGCAGATTGGTTTCCCCAAAATGGGTCACTGTCGACTCAGCCGCAGATTTCATATCATATCTGGCTGGTTTCTTGCAGTTGTCTCGCTAGCCTTTAAATTAACATCCCTGACTGTTTCATGGGTTGGTTATTCTGTGACTTTGGGGCCCAAAAGGGTGACATTTTTGTGTCCCTGTCATTGAAATTGACTTCAAACTACCTACGCCCTCTTGGAAATTAAAGAACGTGTCATATGTCAGATGTGACCGGGACACGGAAAAAGTTTGACCCCAAATTTGTAGAATGACCCACTTTCGACCCAGTCGTAAGAAATTCAGATAAAGTGTCCTCCTCATGGACAAAAGTCCCCCATAGCCAGAGGCTACCTCACTCAAGAAAAAAAAATCATGGGTTCAAGTCAAGAGTCATCCAATCATTCTTCGGTTTCCTCGGCCAGTGCGACAAAGGTAGCTCGGACAACTGTAACCTGTGGACGGTGCTGGACCTACTCATTTTCATCGTGATGGGTTTTGTGGGTGGACTCTTGGGGGCGCTCTTCAATTTCCTGAACACCAAGTTGACTGTCTACAGGATGAAGCATCTCGGCAGTCGTCGGAAGTTTGTCAGGTAGATGCCAAGTTGGATGTTCTAGGGCCAAATCGATCCTAATTCTGAAAACCCTGCGTGTTGAACTAAGTTCTTATTTTCTTTTTATGTACAAGTTGGCAGAGTTTAAATCCACTGGTCAGTCATCTTAATCTGGGCTGTAATTGGGTTCTTTTTCCCAGGGTGGTAGAGGCTCTCCTGATCGTCATGGTTACGGCCTCAGTGGCATTTGTCGCTGCCATGACGTTGGGTAAATGCAAGAAGCTTCCATCCTCTAATGGTGTAAGTTCATAACTCATCAATTGTCCACTTGCTCCCTATCCTTTCCAGTGCCCCAGGGAGAGCAGTTCTTTGATAAGCTGATGGTGCTAGCCTGGTAAAATAAAACGAAATACATAAATAAATAAAAATAAATCCTTTGGGTCACAGTTGGGGGAAAATTAATATTATGCAGAAATTAATACGCCGGATTATATTCAAGAATTTCTTTCTGCAAGATGTGAAAATTATTTGAACAGGGAACGATGACAGTAGTTTAACTGTGAAACTTTTCGAGCAATGTCAGGCTGCCCGGTCCTGCTATGTTGGGGCGTGCGCTTTGCCACTTTGCGCTTTGCCCATTTCATGAATTCTGACATGGCTTTAGTCAGTAGAGTGTAGTATTAAATCCCATTCCTACCAGCTATTTGAGCCTAGTATTACCTCAGGTCTCTGCACTTGTTTTTTTTTTGTTCTGTTATCTTTTGTGCTCATAGTCAAGGCCGGGCAACTCTTCAATGCCCTGGTCCTCCAACGTTACCAATAGCAACGGCACCGAGCTCACCTTCTTTTGCCCGGAGGGATACTACAACGACATGGCCACCCTGTTCTTCAACTCCCAGGAGATAGCCATCAAGGAGCTGTTCCACGAAGCTGGTATCAGTCTACCCTCCCGAAAATAAAAACAAAACGAGACTGCCTCTGATGCGCTTAGTCGCGTAGCAAGTTCCGTCAAAGATTGTCTGTTAACCAGTGGTCAGGTCATAGTGCAACTTTTGCTTTTGTGCTAATGCAGAAAAATGTATAAGAAAATTAACGTCAGATGTCGTTGCCAAACATAGCATGAGAGGTTCTTTGTTATGCTAAGCTGTTGTTAGTCAGCCATAAGACTGTAAGACCTGTGTTTGCCAGCCCAGGAGAAACTTGTTGGCTGACCAGTATCTTGTATTGGCATATGGGTAATTCCAAAAATGAGGGGTCCCAAAGTGTGTCATTTTTGTGACCCTGTTTCATCTGTCCTGTGTTATTTGACAGGGAAATATCACCAGAATTGATTTCAAACTATTACTATTTGTTGGGCAGGTTATTTGCATTAATTCATCTCTCTCGGAAATTAGAAAATGTGCTCTGAACTTACAAAACCATAAGTCAGATGTGACAGGGACACAGAAGAAAACGGACCCCTAATGGTGCTAAAGTGGTACCCCACAAGAATTTCACGAAACAGATATTTCACATTCACTCAAAAAGGAGGAATTTTCAAGTGCCATTCATCTGTCGCAAATTGAAGGAACATACGGTCGAAATTTCAACCCAGGAAACTGAATTTGGTTGAAATGGCAGTGATTTGAAATTTTTTCCCTGTTGTGTGGGAGTTTTGTACACGAGAACAAAGGAAATACCCACAAGTATACATTTGTAACGGAGGGTGAACTACCGTGTGTTTTAAACTGAGTCAGTCGAGCTGTGATTAATGATAGTCCGTGATCATTCCGGCTGGAATGTACAATTTTGTCCGTGCTACTCTCTAAATACAGTCGAGATCGAAAGATCACAGTAACTCCAACTGCAAACAATAAAGTGAGACTTAAATACTTTATGCTTCAGATAAAGTCCCACTCCACATTTTCCCATTTTTTCCATTCAAAGGGGAGGTCCTTTTTGGGGTTTTTTGTCATTTTTGGAAAGAGTAGTTATTAGCAGGATGTGTACTTGGAAATGTCATATTTCTCCGTAATGTTGACAAAAGCGTTATTCGTGGTCGGTCACAAATGTTGAAACAATGTTGGAAACAAAAATGCAAAGCTGCCGGAATATCTCATTGTCACTCTACTTTCCACCAGAAGTGGGGTAAACTCTTTTGCCGCTAAATTTTTTAAAAATACCAATATCTCCATTTTCAAAAACTCCGACTTTCAGCTCATTTTGTGGTGACAGGTCACACATACATATGAACGGAGCTTAATTTGACTCCAAAATGGAATATTGTCGTCCGAGTTGGAAAATTGAACTTCCAGTCCAGTTTTGACCGCAACTGTACCTGGGTTGTCTGCTGTCCGTTTCAGGCAAGTTCAGCTTGCAGTCCTTGGGCATCTTCTTTGGGCTGTTCTTCCTGTTGGCCTGTTGGACGTACGGCGCTATGGTTCCCAGCGGTCTCTTTGTGCCATGCCTGCTGTGCGGAGCGGCCTACGGGCGAATTATTGGCAACATCCTGAATGAGTAGGTGAACTGCATCAACCATTGAGCACATAGAAAAGGAAAACGATTGTGACAACTACCCCCGTTAAAATGGCTGCAAGTCAAAAAATAGTTGACCGGCGTCAAATTAGAGAATTTTGTGGCATTACCGAGCTGTCTATTACATTTTCATTTTTTTAATCCAAAGATACACAGGATATCCGAACATCAGCAACATCTACTCGGGGACGTTTGCGCTGATCGGGGCGGCCTCGTTCCTGGGTGGGGTCGTGCGCATGACGATCAGCCTCACGGTCATCCTGATCGAGTCCACCAACGAGATCAGCTACGGCCTGCCCATCATGGTCACCCTCATTGTGAGTTCTGTCGTGTCTGTCAAAGTTCCGCTCATTATCCCCACAACCTGCTAGTACAGGATAACTCCAGTGATGCCCTGACAGCATAGTTTTCCACACATACTCAATCTACTTGGTGCGGAAATACTTAGCACCTAAAAATGCGGAGTTTTCAATCCACATGTTCTGCTGATTTTTTTGTAGTAAGGGTCTCCACGTCGAGATCTTTCAGAGATCAGTACTATAAGAAAGTGCAAAGGGGTGAAGTACTGAGATATTCACCATGTGTTTTGTTCAGGTGGCCAAGTGGTCAGGCGACTTGTTCAATAATGGCCTGTACGACATCCACATCGAACTCAAAGGCCTGCCGCTACTGGGATGGGAACCGCCGAGGAAGATGGAAAGGTAGGAATCAGGCATCCAAGATGCGATTTTTGAAAGTGAAGAGTCTGGATACTACGCAAGAATTGTTTCAGTCGTGAAAGGGAGGGCATCTCAGTGTGTTTAATCATAAATACTCTAATCAACAATATCAGACCTGTGAAAAAAATCTTCACTGTTCAACTTTGTTGGTTTTGAACCCTTTGTTCCCCTCTAAGTTCTTAGTTTTTTTAAGTTTAAGTGTTTAATTTCAAGATTCTTTCTGATAAGGAACCACCAGTACAATAAATATTCTAACCCAGAAGCCTGCGGAAATCTTGGGAAAAGAAGCCGAAAAAGAAACAAAAATTCGAGTTTCAGTTAAAACCACTGAATTTTATTCTGGGTAAACCCGCGGAAGCAGGCAGGGACCGAAAACCCAATCCACCAGTCAGCCCAAAGTGGGATTTGAACCCAAGTTGAGAGGTGGAAATAAAGAAAAGCACCACCGGGCCAAGATGACTCGCTTGGACCCTCCCAAGGTCTCTCCAAAATGATCCGCTATGCAGGAAATTTTTCAGTCATTTGCGACTCGCCGCATCCCTCCCCTCTCGTGTCTGGGATCAATCACACAGGTTACGCGCCCGCCAGATCATGGAGACCAGGCTGACCTACATTTACCCACACACCCGCGTGCGCTCCCTCGTCAACATCCTGCGCACCACCAAGCACCACGCGTACCCAGTGGTCACCGAAAACCAGCACATGAGGGCCGCGACAACGGAAGCCGCGGCAACAGCGCCAAATAACACGGACGCCACAGTAGCCAGCAAGAACATGCTATATAAGGTCAGTGTTTTTGCGGCGGGTCAACTAAGGTCATTTACACAACTGTCACAGATTTCAAACGGTAGCTGCCGTCACCAAGAGTGGTTAAGTCACGGCAAAACCAACGTTCTTAGAACGCAAACAGTAAGAATGTATTCGTTGGATTTTTCTTCTTTTTGCAATGTGTTGCAATCCACGTCGGGCAGGGCCAAAAAAAAATCCCCAAAATTAACATCCCCCTGGTGCAAATCCATCCTTAGGAATAATAATGTGTTTGTTTATTCAGTGGAAATCCAATACAGTGCATGTTCATTTCGCTGTACAATAAAGATGCCATATTTCAATTTAGCTCAGCCAAAGGCATGTTAACCACTTCGTGCCGGGGGCATTTACAAATGTTGTTGATGCTGGGATGGGATAATGTTCTTTTTTTTTCTGTTTTCAAAATTTTTTAAAAATTCATATTTTCATTTACTGGACACTTACATCCACACGAAGGACTGTCTGGTTTCTAGTCTAATCTGACAGACAACATCTATTGACGCTGTCGCCTCATAAAAAGAGCCCAGATGGTGCAGTGTTATGTAATTTTCTTTTGTTCACGAAACTGGCACTGTGCACTGCTGACCTCTTTCCAGTAGGAGCCAGATTAGCGTGTAGCGGTACTGTGTGTGCTCATCGCTGTGGTGGTGGAGCGCTTTTGTCCCCGGTGGTAATCCGCTCACACTGAATGCCCCAAACCATGGTATACTGTTTCAAAACAAGGCTGGATTATCTCCACTATTGAGAGTGAAAAGATGTTGGTAATTCCCAGCAGCCTGGTCTTTTGTTATGTGCACGGTCTTTTGTTAGAAGGCCCAGTTCCCTTTGTCCGATTTCAGGGACCCTGGCTACGCATATAAAGAAAACTTATCCGAAACCGGAATCCCTGGTGCCAAGTAATAAAGGTGCCTCAGATAGTCCTCAAATAACCCACCTCCGTCCTGTAATACAGCCAGATATTGTAAGTGGTGATTTTTTGCGAAGGGTGGAAGACCGAAAAAACCTGTAGCAAAACCCTCATGGCATAGGAAAGAACCAACAAACCATTATCCTCACATGTCCCGGGCTGGGAATCGAACCCAAGACCACAGTGACGAGAAAGTGCTTTTTTTGCTACCACGCCACCACTGCATGAAGCATGCCCACAAAATTAAGATTCCATCACCTCAATGCCAATAAAAAACACATCTCAGGATTTACAAGTGCACGTGGGTTCCCAAGTGTTCAAAGCAAATTTGGATTTAGGGATCAACCAATGGAGGTTAACTGCCGATCCGATGTCCGATGTTTTAATTGGATCATCAGCCGATGTATTCATGCTCAAACAAATGAGATTTTTGTTTGCCAAAACTGAGAGCAGAGTTTGCTCCTTTCTTCAAGTTAACATCGGTACTCATATCGGCAAGGAAGGTCAAATTATGCCGATCCGATGTTTTGCCGAACATTGGCCCAATCCAATGTCTGATCCGATCATCGTTTGATCCTTAAACGGGCTTATTACTCATTCTATGGATCTGAGAACAAAAGATGGTTGCGGAGATGTGAAAGCCAAGTTTGAATTGACTGTGCTGATTAGTCATTTATTTGTTCTTGATTGATCTAGCGGGACAGCACGTTGTCTCGGTCGGAAGAACAGAGGAACCGATCATCCTCCGTCCGTTCTGTGGAGATGCTCCGAGTTCATCACATGAGTCGCTTGGCAGCGGACTACAACTTGGCGCGCAGCAGGCAGGACAGCGTGGAGAACACGGATGAGTTTGATCGAGTCTCACTCCGGTAGGCTACCAGCTCTCACCCCATCATTACGGGGTATTCCATGGGCCCTCACTTCAACAGCTTTTGTTTTTGTCTATGGGGTTAGGTCGGTTTGGGCTTGGCATGGTTGGGTGAGTTTGGGTTGGGTTGGTTGGGTTGGGTGAGGTTGGGTTGGATGAGGTTGGGTTGAGTTGGGTTGGGTGAGGTAGGGTTGGGTGAGATTGGGTTGGGTTGGGTGAGGTTGGGTTGGGTGAGATTGGGTTGGATTGGGTGAGGTTGGGTTGGGTGAGGTTGGGTTGGATGAGGTTGGGTTGGGTGAGGTTGGGTTGGGTGAGATGAGGTTGGGTTTGGTTATCATGTACCTCATGGACAGGAAGGAGTCTCTATGTTCAGGGAGCAGGTGCTCCAGTTCATATCCAAACCTTTGATCAACGTATGAATATGATTAATTGAAACTTACATAGAACGGATCCCAGTGGTTATCCGAGCTGGTTAGCAGACCTAGAGAGCGTGGACGGCAACGAGGACATACTGGATGACTGTCGACCCCTGACCTTTCACGGGGTCATCCTGAGGACCCACCTCATCATGTTGCTGAAGAAGAAAGTGTGCTACGACGAGAACACTTCGGTGAGTCAGACATTCCCCCGGGCAGTTCCACAACGTCACTTGAAGTCCCCAGTCATGTCGTCCATCAATAGGTCTATAACCTGATGACGTCACACTGTGCCCTTTCCTCCGAAGCCAGTGGAGGCCCACGGTCCACTTAGCACCACAGGAAAGGACACACGTAAACAGACTATAGCCTCACCAGTACAAAGCCTCTTTTGACTTCTGGGTCGAATTGCAGGATTTCAGTCTGTGAACTCTGTCAGTGCATTAAGCCATCATAGTCGTCCCTTGGACTTCTGAAGCGATGCGCTCGCGGTGTTAAGCCAGTTTTTAGAAATGGTTAGGCTGTTTGGGGTTAGCTTACAATGGTCTACGTCAAAGATTTTTGGACCCTTTTTTTTGGGCTACTGCGTAATTTGCCGTCGGAGTGGGCTCTGTGCATGCTTTTAGAGCACAGTGTTAGTAGATTTTATTCCAGTGTAGCCCGACTCCGCCGGAGGAATGTGATGACAGCAAGTCGTAAACTGCAAAATAGAAATGTCCCTGGACAAAAATCTCCGTCTTGGACAGTGTTAGTCAGAGTTTGGTCAGATTTATTTGTGCGTTTCACATTCCAGTTCCCCCAAATTGTTTTTTTTTTCCCTCCTTATTTCTCCGGGGGTGGGGAGAGGGGCCATGACCCGCAGTGGCCCCTTTCCTAGGGACTTATTTGCAACCAGCAAAGATGTAAACCTAGGTCTTGATTTGTACTTGGTCTAGCCAAGCATCAAAGCCAGGACAAGGGTTACATGTGTTTGTTGTTTTATACATTCATTAAACTGGCAGAGTTCATGCCAAGAGGAGCTATCCTACGGAGAGTTGACGGAGGACTATCCGCGATTTCAAGACATCCACGACATTGACCTCAACGCCATCAACCACAACATGATCATGGTAAGCGATATGCAATAGAGATACGATGAAAAACAACGGTCCTGATAACCAAGAAATGGAATAATCCGGGACTACTTCGTGAAACCAAAAATTCCCCTACAGTGCTAGTACCCCGCTGGACTCTGCCATTGGAAAAAGTCCTACGAGCCTCAAGCGTGACCAAGAGAGGGTGCTATTTGCTTAGCAACCGAGCCTCCTTCGGTCAGAACTGAACATCGCTGGTTCGTGAACAATTATGAAATGCACGCATCACAGTCGCATCACTACCAATATAAACACTCCCAACCAACATGGCTCTTTTCAACCAATGAGGGGGTGCTTCCGCTTGAGGGGGATTGTACTCTGCCACTTAGCTTGCAGGGTTATGTTCCATCTGTCCAGGTGCTGAAATGTCTGCCACACCACTCCTAGATGTCAGGAGTGGGAAGCAACAGGGACTGAGGAATTCGTCCCTCGTCAGTCAATTCTATTTTAGAGGTCCCCATCCCTTCAAGACTCCAAACAAAAAAAAACAGTCACATCTACAACCAGATAATTCAGCATTGTCCCGAATATGAATCATGACTTCAAATGTTTTATTGCACTATGCAGTCATTTGCAAAAGTTTAAGACCACCTTGAATTTCATTGGTATTTCTGTCACTGGGCGTGCATTACACTGTCTCACTGAATGATTACTTCACATGATTTTACAGTGGTGCATAACATCAGTGTAGTGCTATATACGCATTTGAACGAAATTTGTTGCAAAGGCAGGTCTTGTATGACATTTTGTCTACAAGGGAGCATGGGTGAAAAAAGCCAGTCTAAGTAATCAGAAATAAAGGAGGGCACACTGAATATTAGACTGTTAACATGTGAAATCGTGGAAATGCAGTCAAAAATGTTCAACCAAGGCACCAAGGTTACACATTGAAAATAAACATAAGTTGCCATGATTGATTGGTTTAAGTTTGGTTTTCCTTCAGGTTAATGCATTTTCCATGGGTGGTCCTAAACTTTTGCAAATGACTGTACTATTGTATTCGCTCTGAGCTGAACTAAAGAGGGCTTGTGTTTTTGGTACTCACCGCATAGGCGAGCCATGAGGCGCACAAGTATATACACGTTTGACGCGGAGCACGCTGAGTATGCGTAACTAATTTATTCTGGCTTGTATCATGGTCTTTGTGTACACGCAGAGCGCGTGCAAGAACCCGCTTGTAACCACCTGTCTTTCTTTCACCAATTGGGGGTGCACTTCAGCTCGGGGTGGATAGACGCTTCTGCTTCCAAGTCACAGTTTTTGTTTAGCAGTGGCCAGCAAGCTATGGCTAAAGAGAAAATTTGTCATGGTGCTAATTGAAGAAATGTGACCAATGGTATTAACTCCAAATAGTGAAATGCTGCTGCCAAATACTGTGCAAAATACCTCCCTCTTCAATCGGCCTCGAGCAGAAGCACTCCCTCGTCAGTTGAATAGAGCCGCGATGGTGGGGAGTGCTCATTTGGTTGGTATCGACATGACGGTACTGCGTGCATTTCATAGTAGTTTGTGAACCAGTAAAAATGCAGCTCCCACCAAAGGAGCTGTCGCTAGAAAAGTTACGCCCTCTCTTGGTCCCGCTTGGGGCGGATACTATTTGGGTAATGTGCATTTTAAAGGCAAAGGATATCACCAACCAAGGTTGAACTCACTGCAAACTGTGTCCAGGGTTGAGATTTGTCCGAATGTTTGGAATTGGTGAAAATGTATTCAGGACTAAAGGAATTGTTCTACTTGCAGGTGGCGTTGCCTGAACTAGACATTTTCCAAATCTTGCCAAAAAGAGAATATAGGACTTGGTTGTCCGTGCAAAATGACAGGCAATGTTTGTAAACAATGGTCCATACGGCATCAATGCCTTTAGTAGTCGTGTTTCCTTCAACTAATCTTGGAGCTCAATACTCTACAATCTACAAATCCTCCTGTTTCTTCGACACAGGACGTCACCTCCTTCATGAACCCTTGCCCTTACACCGTCACCCCGGAAACCCCCGTCTCCAAGGTCTTCAACCTCTTCCGGACCATGGGCCTGCGACACCTCATGGTCATCAACAGCTGTGGCGAGGTCAGTCTGGTTCCCAGACCAAACGACTCCGACCATTTCAAGAGATCTTTGGGTTCACTAGCTTTCACACTCACGTGACAGAAAAAAATTCTTCCCGTTTCTGAAAACTCTTGAAACTTGCCGAGATTTTCCACGCCCATTTTGTTGATTTTGGGAAATAAGTATCTTGTTCTAATGAAACCAAAATATTTGTGGGAGGGGGGAACACGTTTGGGAGAGGGCCAGAATATTTTAGATGTTTTTTTATGCTGCCTGTAAGGCCTTTTTGAGAGGTGAGGCTACTTTTGGGGCTTTTGGAAAGAAGGGAAATTTACAAAACAGACCAGGAAAATTGCCTTTCGTTATTTTTCAAGAGAAAAAAAATGAGGAGGGAGGTCTTGGGGGGGCGTGGCTCTGTTGGCCCCCCTGGATCTGCCCTTGACCTCATCATATGCAGCAAGGTATGAGACGGAGAGAACCCCCC